AACCCCAGAAAGAGGAAACCATCGATAGCCCTGGCCAGAGAGCAGATGCTACTACTCGGGCTGCGCTCCGAGTTTCTTCACCTCTCACACAGAGCGAATACGGGAAGGATTTTGACTCTGACAGCTTCTTTTATAAAAAATACGAGAATTTACATAAAAAAGAAATGCTACCTCAAGTGTGTTCTGTTTCTTTTGCAGTAAGCTTAGCAATTTCTGATCTCCACATTTTCCGTTCAATTTGTTCCCACCACCTGGACCTCTGTTTACCGCATTGCCCTCACTGATGTTCATTGTATTCGAATTCGATTTTGCAGTACTGCGATCTATTGCACGTATTTTGCTCTAAAATGTTCTTTGTGAATCTCCTTTATTACTGCTAATACCTGTCCATTTACAACTGTAATGTTCAAAATAATCAATAAATCTCTAGTCCTCAACCCACTTTCCTTTGGTTTCTTATTTCACTTGATATAAAAGCTTCGAGCCTCTTCGAAGTGCCCCCAGTGATAGCACATTACTAACAGCGACCACTCGCTGGCAAGGCTGTCGATGGACCCCTCTTTCGAGGAATACTTCAGGCAATTACTAAAACTCGGTCTGCTCCACATAGCACCATACACGACTTGCGAAAATTTTGTCTCGGTGATAGTGGGGGGGAGGGACGCTCACGATGAATGGCGGAAGTTTGAATGTTGCAAGTGAGAGAAGGGGTGGCGCGCTGCTGAAAACGAAGGAGGCTGGGATAAGTGAATTTAATGACAGTATGGCGCAGATCCTTTGTCCGTTGGCTAGCTCACGTACATTCAGAGGGGAGAAGGGGAGAGCAGGAAAAGAGAGGAAGCTTCAGCAGTTGAAAGGCATTTTCTCTGGCAACGAAAAGAATTCACAAAAAACGTACCTCTAAAGAAGCGCCCAAATTAATAGCGTTATTTTCATCCAGCTTCGAGAAAACAACTGGCTCACTCGCGAAGAACTGCGCGCGTCCATTACCATCATCTGTTCGAAGTCGAAAAACGGATGCCACCATATTCATCACACGCCTTCTGGAAATAAAGAGAAATCATTTACAGAAATCTTTTGTTTCTGATTACGCTGATAATCAAAACAGCGATCAGCAATATCGCCCAGACAATCGAAATGGAGTCTTGACAATTCTAAGACACAATCGGGCTTTTATGCTGAAAGTCGAGGGTTAGAATCTGCTACAAAGGCAACCAGGCCTCCCCCCCCCCCCCCCCCCCCCCCCCCCCCC